AACATTGTAATCGACTCTTCTCCTCTGTTTTAAACTCTCTGCAAATGGTTTAGAAAAAAAATTACCAACATCAGAACACAAAAAGACTAGATCCTTACAATTTTGGTATAACTGATTCAAAAATTAACAAGAGAAATAAAAACGCTTGTGTGTTCTATGAATACAGTAAATTTACCTGGTAAATCTGACTTGGCTGCAAATAATTTCTTGCGGGACTTTGACGACCAGTCAAACAACTGGAAAAAGCCACCAACATAACCTCCTCCACTTTTCCCTTCTTTTTCAACTCCCATTGTCAAAGCAGCATGCAATACACCTTCAAGACACAACAACAAAGCCTCGTGCCAGAAGATGAGACCAGCTACATGTATCACACAACGTCATTTGTCTCGATTAAAGACAGTAAACCTTCATGACACATCAGGAAAAGATTGGCATGAAAGATTAACATCGTTAGTCAAATGATAATTATATTAAAGATTTGCTGACTCTAACATAGTGAAATTTCCAAGGAAAAAGGCGCATACATACGGAAATATTAACATGAAAGGAAACATAATAATTAACTCAATGTGAACCAAAACTTCAAACAAACTCAATCACGAAGATTTCAATAGAATGGTTCTCTGTATCTCTAGATCTCTGTTGGAAGAAAGCAGTCAGATGCTAGTGCACCAAACCTAAATCCACTACATGGTTCATATTTTGCTTATGTAAATCTCCTTTGAGAGAACCAATCTGACAATCAATATTCAAATCTACCTAGACAAAATAGTATCATAACATTGTTGGTGTTGCTAAACTTGAAAGTAATCATATGCAGTCCAAATCAATAACAAATAGACAATGATGGCTGCTTCAAATTATTAAGAAGAAAATTCTGAAGATCCAGAGTAAAATTTTGAGCTGGGATCAAATGTGGATATAGTAATCCTAAGGAAAAAGGGAGGAAAATGGGTTGAAAATGCAAAATTAACCATAGTTTGAAAAAGCAAAGGTTATGTGGATCTTGAGCATTTTAGAGAAGTCCAATCCTATATAGTCCAATCGATAGATTCAAATAAGAACAGAGACGTACACAAACTGTGATTACACACAGGCATTCCTTCTCAACAAATGAATCAGACGTCAAATAACAAATGGAAAACCCAAAAACACCAAATTCAGGCCATTCAAAAGGTAAAAGCTTAAACTGAATCCGAACACTAAAAATAACATACATAAAAAACAACATGAGTACCAACAAGGAGAAAAGAGAGTGGCCAAAGTCAAACGCAAATCTGAAAGGAAGAAGCCAACGACAAAAAACCCATTAAAGGAAATGAAGAAAAGATGCAATCTTTGGCATTGGAAGGGAGACTTACGTTGAAACAATAAGTTGGGTCAGCTAGAATTTGAGTGGAGTGAAAGGTAAGAAGCAAGCACCCACCGCAAGAGCATTTTTTTTTTTTTTTCACTGTGAAAGAGAGGGGAGCTCAGTTGAAGCAATAGATGGGTAATCTTGAGAAGTTGAAGCAAAACGGAAAAATTTTGGGGAATTGAGAGAGAGAGAGAGTAGTGGAGTCAGAGTCTAGAGGGAGACAGACACAGTTTGAAGTGATAATAAATGGAGACAGAGAAGAGAATTTTCTTGCATGAAGTGGTGAATTGAAAACTGCATTAAAATTAAAAAAAAATGCTTATTTTGAAATACGTTTGGATTATTATAATTATAAAAAAATAAAAAAAGGGAGAGTTTATAACGTCTCTCTCGAGAGGGATGTGATTTCAAATTCCAAACGGGGAAAAAGGTGGTCCGAGGGAGCTTGATAACGTCACTGGACTCGTGGATTTCGAGGATTGGTTCACCTATTGTTAGATGACACGTGTAACAACAACGACTCACCAAATTAAAAATTATCAAAAATGTGATCCTAATTTATGGCTGTTTACAGGATTAACTGGGATGAATTTATCCAAATTTTAAATAGAATTATTTATTTAAATTTTAATTTAACTTTGTTAAGATATATGATAATATATAAGATAAAATAAAGTTCATTTAATCCATTGACATATCCGTTATATATACATATAATTAATCATATCTACAATTTTATAAAAGAAACATATGTATAATTAAATCTCAATGTTAAATAAATATTTTTTATGTGTGAGAAATGGAAAAACACAATCGGGAAAAAAATCTCTACTATGAATTACTCCTATTTTAGGATAATTTGTTTACTTCTTTAAATGTGTTAATAATTTTTAAAATATTTTATAAATATTATTAACCTCTTTTAAAATATTTATTAAAAACTTAAACAATAATTACCAAATTTTAAAACATATTTTGTCGATAATGTGTTTATTTATTTGAGAGAAGTACAAATAAATTACTCCTTTAAGCTAACTCGAAATATTTTTGGATTAAATAAAAACGTAATTAATTATTTGAATTTAATTACTTAGTCTAATTTTATCCAACCAAAAAATTGAAAAATAAAATTTTAAAATAAAAATATGTGTTAGTAGTTTAGTGCCTCTATGAATTAAAAAAAGAAAAAAGAAAAATCCATTTTATAATATTATATGCTCTATTTTATTTGATAAAAAAAATGTAAACAAACGACCTTAAGGTCTTTTGAAATTAATAACAAATTAATTAGTGGCTTGTGTTATTGTTAAATGCAAAAGTATATTAGGTTTTCTAATGAGACTCATTTTAGAATTAGAATGTTTACATAAGTGCTTAGAAGGAGAAAAAAGTAATAATTAATGTGTATGTTAATTATAAAACTTCCAAAATTAAATTAACGTCTCACGTTAACAATTTTAATATTTATTTTTATGTAGAATATTTAAATTTACGCGACATTGTAATACTCATTAAATTTAAATGAAAAACTTATAATAACTATATATTAGGAATGTTTTTATTAAAATGTTAGGAGCATGCGTTGTCATTTGTAGGAAGATGTAAGAGTATCTTTATTTATTATTACACTATTAGATGTTTTATATAATTTTTTTATTAGTTTTAAAAAGATAATTCCCGGAATTTTTTTAATTGTTTTAAAAATTCGGAACATAAAAAACAAGTGAAATAGAGACATAAAATGTTGAAAGGTGTAAAAACAAGTTTAATAATGTTCTTGATTTAAAAAAAAATGTATTTTCTGTATCAACCAACAAAAAAAAGTGCTTTTATTGGCATTTTTAAGTTCCCATATTCTGATTTCTTGGATACCTTTCCCAGTGGCATTCTCTCTTAAATGAATATCGACACTACAGTGCTTCTCCAACCATAACTATATTAATCACCTCTGTCACATTTATTAACAAGTCAACACCTTCATGCTTTATATTTTACCTCTCTCTCTCTTTTTTTTTTTTTTTCATTTTTCTACAGGGCCTCAATTTTTCTTTTTTAATTTTTTTTCCAACAACTCCTACGTAAATTGATAGTAGAAAATGACAAAAAAATTATACATAAATTGTTACTCTGTCCTTATTCATTTGGTTTAATTAGCCCTACGTGCAGATTCCTATAAGACTTTATAATTATTTACCTGCTTCTTTAAATTTTGAATCTTCAATTAATTGTTGTTAGGTCTTTTACTCTTAAAATCTGTCTCGAAAAAGTTTGAAAATTAAATTGTAGGTAATATATTTCACATTTATGTATTTTATTAGTTAATTTTATTTTTATTTAAAAATCATTTTTTTGTTAAAAAATATACATGATAAGTTTAGTAATTAACTTAAAATTAATATAATATAGTACAAGAGAAAAAAAGTGTGTACTTGATATATTGAAAAGTGTAAATAGCATAACTATAAAAAGTTTTGGATTGTTCTTTCTTTGTACGAATGGTCCAATAAAATAGGAGGTACTGTAATAGCCAGTTCACAACAAGTTGGAAAATGAAAATTACAAAAACATTTTTATTATTTGGACTGACACACAGATTAATATAATATATTTATATGGGTGATTTTTATATTTTATCTTAATATTTCTATTATTTTGACTGACTTACAAAATAATAAATAATAAATATAAATATTGGTATTTTGAAAATCAGACCCAGCTCAACCGATTCAAACAAATAAATGAATTTTAATTAAATTAATATAACAAAAATCGGTATAAATTGAAAAAGAGAGAGAGAGAGAGAGAGAGAGAGAAACAGTTAAAATTTTGAAGTTTTGGATTTAATCATTTGGTAAAAAAAAATTAAAATCAGATTTTTTTAATATTTTTAGAAGAGAATTATTTTATAAAAGATATAATATTTTTTATATCTTATACGAGTCTCGTTAACTTAAAAACAATAGTTTTATTTTTATTATATTTTATATTTATTATAATTTAAAATTACGGTAATATTAATCTGTTATTGATATAATTTTTTCTTGTATGAAAAATAATAATTATTAACGATCCTATTATATTATAAAAAATACTATTTTAATAAATATTGTTAAAATTCTATTAATCTTAATTAAACCATTAAGTATTGAACCATTTGAATCTTAAATATATTAGAGTAATATAAATGTTTTCTATTTATTACACGACATCTTCTGAGTATTTAACTGCATGAGATAAGATGGATTTGTGTATGTATAACACAGCAAATTTTATTAAGAAATTTATCAAATTATAAGAACAAAGTACACATTTCATGAATACACATAAAAAGTTAAAAGCAGAAGAGAGAAAGACTAGGTAGAATCACGAAGATACAAAAATATGATAAACTTTGGAATTGAATTTTACCAAAGCAAAAACATACAATTGTTAAACAAATTTTTTTCACCACCAACTTGATTCTGGTGTAGGATAATATTGTTCTAGCTTAATTTTGGAGAAATTGTATTAATGTTTGGATAAATTTTTTATTATTTATAATTATTCTATCTGAATTAGACCATTTTTTTTTTTGACAGGTTCGATCTGTGATCTGAAATTAAAAAGGAAAAAAATGGTGATTGTGTTGGGTTCTTAGGTATTAGCAATTATGGGTCAATTTCCCATTCTTGTTATTCATCAACCATTGCATCTTTCTCAGAGATACTTTTTTCTCCGTTTCAAAGGACTTGTCCTTTCCCACGCGCCGCGTCCTCTTCATCTCCCACTCCGTTCCCTTCAAATATTTTATGTACCCGGGAACCGCCGTAGATGGTGGCGCGTTACTCGTACGTCTACGGCGACGCATGTTATCGCACTGCATGCCCCAGTTGCTCACGTAGCCATGACCCACATAATGGCCACATTCCATCTCTTCCATCTACCTCAACCTTCCGCCGTATATTGATGTATCGACGGTGGTGACGACGGAAGGGCCGCAGGAAGAGGTGGCAGATTTTCTTTCGTGGGTGAGGATTTTAATGTGTGTCTTGGGGTTTATATGGAGTTGAAGAAAATTCTAAAAATAACAATAAAAACCAAAAGACAATTATGGCTTACCTATTTGGGTTTAGAATGATTAAGTTAGGAACATGAAATGGTGAAGTTGATATTTTATGAATTTAGAAAAAAAAAAAAACTTATTTTAGAAGGACACAACACAACAAATTTAAAATGGGAATAAGAGGGCCTTTGGGAGCTAGGGCACATAATGGAGGGGTGGACCTTCAATCTCTCTGGTTCATTTATAGTTTCATAAATATTTTGTTTCTAAAATTTAAAATGAAATCATCTAGACCATTTTTTTTAATCTCAAATCAAATCAATAAAGTAATTTTAAAAGAATTTTTGATTTTGATGGGAGACTTTTGAATGTCTGAAAACATTATATTACATATAATTTCATTGTATATTTGTGTGTTGTAACAACGATATCTTTAAGTTTCTCTGTGTTAACATGAACTTCAGTGTCTTTGATATATTTTAACCGTTCAATTTTAAAAAATAACTAGTTAATAATTTACTTATAATAATAATTTCCCACTTTCTTGTGTTCTTACATTAATTAATTAACTTTTGAGTGAGCTTTGTATGAATAGTTATATTATTTTGTGGCCGAAATTTGGTTTAATTTACAACTTTTGGGAGAAAGAATGTTTTTTTAATTACGTTATTTGAACAAATTTTATATTTGTTTCTGAAAAACAATAAATAGAAAAGACAGAAAGACACAAATTTAGAAACATAATATACTATGAGACCCATGTAAAATGAGTTAAGAACTTAAATTAAATGTTAACATTGAAAAAGAATTTAAAAGATCTTAAATTATAGGGGACGCTAACCCACATAACTATGTTAAGAATTCAAAATAAGTTTTAGCCTCAAAGACGGTATAAAGGTTAAAATTTGATATAAGTAGCCCTTCAGTTATAATGCCCTAATATCCATCCTTCAGCAGCAATTTTGACCGTTAAGGCTTCTACACTACCACTTTTTAGTTCCAGGGTCTGTTACCTATAATATTGATATTCCAGAATTAATGTCTTACACATAGTATCATTGGTTACTATTTTAATATACTTGAATATGAATGGTACTATGGTGTCACAATCCCCAAACATCCTTTACAAAGAAAAATAGGACCACCCCAAGAGATCAATCATGTGTTTACATACAAATCTTCATTTCTTTTCAAGAATGAGTAATAATTATAATGAAAATGAGAGCCAGATATAAGATATGTTTTTCTAATAAAACCTATTTTTTACGGGCTTTAAGTTATTATTTTTTGTCTCGATGAACTAGATTCAGTGGCTGCTACAAAAACTATGATATAACATTGTTTAATGATATATTCATAGCTTGCTTAAGTTTTATATATGATGGTGATTATTGAACAATTTGTGTATATATAATAGTTTCTTATCATTCCTTGTCCAGTTCACCAATTTAATATCTTCTTATTATCATTCTTGGCTATGCATACTTTTTCAAAATTCCATTAATTATTATTCCTTGCACTAGCTTCTATAGAAGGTCCATTTTCAAACCAAACCCATTAACATGAGAGGTGTAGCATAGAAAATAGGGTCTAACCAAATTAAACGAAGGCTCTAGCCCCACTTATATATAATTGGAGGGTGAAAATAGATCAAGGAAAAATAAGTCTTTGCTATTGATAAGATAAAGGTTGTGAATGAGATAGTTTGCACTTAAAAACAAATATTTCGCTTAATAGAATATATATATATATATATATATATATATATATATATATATATACTATTATTAGTTTTTATTTTAAATGAAATTGGACTTTTGAGTATTCGAGAACAAATTCCATATAGCCAAAGAATATAAGTAACTTTGAATCTTATTTTTGTCTTAATAAATAACATCAATGATTAGATTTCAAGTATATTAAAATGTCATTCTTATATTTAAATTATTGTTTTCTTTAGAATTTAATATTTTCATTATAATTTTATTTTTAAAAATATATCAATACATGAATATAGAATGCTGTGTATATCTTGATCTGAACTGGTGTTTGAAAATTTATTTCTTTTAAAATTTGTCTACTATATATATATATATATATATATATATATATATATATATATATCATGAGAAGAATAAACTTAAAAACTATCAATATATTTAAATAATTTTGAACTTCTAAGAATAACAAAAATAAGGAGGGTGCCCATCTTAGGAAAACATTTAAGGTACTGACAATATATATTTATGTGATTGATTAAATAAAAAGCAGCTTTAAAAATAAACATAATAATGAGAAAATTATAAAAGTAACTTTAACTTTACTTTCGAATGGACAATTTCCAATTTCAATCCCAAATAATTCTGAAGTACGTAGAGAGAAAAACATGGATCAAAGGTTGTACAAGTTTTGAAAGATTTTGTTCCATTTGGATCCAAAATGGATTGTATCGGAGGAAAGAAATTAAACCTGATGAGTCACACGAAATTAAGTGGTGCTGGAAACAACTAATTAGTTAAATTTCCTTGCCAATAGAAGATCGTATTGAAAAAATAAAATTAATAATATTGTAAAAAATGCAACAAGCTTAGCAAACATGTAAAAAAATCAGAATATATGTTGTACGTCTCGTATGCACTATAGTTATAAAAGTATAAACGAATAGAGAGGAAAAATGAAAGATGGTACAGAAATAAAGAGAAAATGCAGAGATTTTTGTCTTTCCCTGACAACTGATAGTTATTTATTTACAAAAAAGAGTGATAATACGATACATAAGATATCCCCATGAATTACATGAGCACACAACATAGGATATAGACGAGATATCCCTAACCTAATTGCCCTATAATATATTGGAAGAAAGTGTGAAGAATTATGTGTGTACGTACCTAGAGAGGAGAGGGAAAAAGTAGGTCAAATTATGGTGTTGGGAGCCAAGCCAAAACCATCGCTATCTTGTAAAAGGGAATAAGCCCAAAAGTAGTACTGGGAAGAGAGGGCATGGTTTTGGTCCAAATTCAAGTTCTCCACCACCTGCCCAATTCCTTGTCCCTAAAATTGGAAGGTGTGTTGTTAGCCAAACTCAAGTTAAGATCGACATCACCATCACCATCAACAAAATTAATATTCTGTACTTCCCTCACTGTGCTCATGCTCATTGCACTTGCACCCATTGGCCTCACTGACCGAACCCTATCATGATCGTGATCATGATAAGGTCCCTCATCAGCGTCCCGCATGAGCCACGGTCGTTGACCCCTGCCACGTGGACCAACCAACGCTCCCGATCCTCCGTACGGAACCACGACCGGGGGATTATTTCGCGCTGTCAACCGTTGATGCCGGTGAAAGTAACCCAAGGGTGAGAGAGCAGCTTTCTGGCGTTCTCTCTTGTGCGCGTTTTGGTGGCCACCCAGAGCTTGAGAATTCGCGAATTCGCGGTAGCAGAAGTGGCACTTGAATCTCTTGTAAGGGCAATGAGGAGTAATAGTGCTACTTCCTGCCACGTGAATCTCTTCGTAACCCGGTGGGGTTAATGGGAAACCGAAAAGTTTTAACGTTCTTGTTGATGAAGAGGGGAAAGAAGAACCTTTACCCTCGTTACTGTCATCAATAGGGTTTTCTGATGCACCACTCATACTGCTTTCCTATACTTCTCTCAACTGCTTCACTCACCTTGTGTGCATATATACACCAATAACACCACTATTTATGACTATCTTTTTTCTATAATTAAATCAGATCAATTTTGTACGACTCCATGTTTGTGTGCTACAATACTTTTTTACACTGTTGGTTAATCACAATAATCATTATTAGTATGATTTTTCAAGATTGTTAGGGTAAAAAATTATTAAATTTACCTTAGATAACACTATGCAAGTAAAAAGTTATCAGTTTTAATTACATCTTTTTTAATCTTTTCCCAAGCAAGGTTTAAGCTGATACGATGCTATGCAGCATAAATAAAGTGAACCAAGAATTTCAGTTCTCATATTTTTCTTGTTGTTAAGCTACTTGTCTTTCTATTTTTGTGGAAGGTGTTTGTGGCGAATGAGATTTAAAATGGACCCTCTCTCACGATTTTTTTACAAAATATATTGTGTGAAAGTTTTGATCTATCCCTTCCCTCTTATGAAAAGAGATAGATTGTCATATGAAAATTCAACATGAAAAACATTCCTATAAAGAGAAAAGTTGAATACTACAAAGAATCTATCAGCATGACAAAATGTGTCATGCGAAAGCAAAGCTGTTTAATTTAAAACAGACAATTAGGCTTTTTAATTACATTTTTTATTGTAAATTATCTTAACCTAATTCTAATTTTGTCTTATAACTAATCACAATCAACTAAAACCTAATTTATAAATACCATATAATGTACAAAACTTGTTGATAAAATATTTAGCATGAAGTGGAAGGGACAAAATTAGCTGAGTTCTGTAAATTTCAACATTGTTATCAGTCTTTGCGCATAAAGTTTTGATGTGACTCTACAAAAAGAGATAATCGACCTGTAAACAAACCCTACATTATAAAACCTAAGTGAGCATGTGTAATATTATGATATCATCTGATACTCTGATTATTTTAATTTAACTCATGGAAGTCCATTTTGTCGTATATGATATGATTTAAATATTTTGGTAGATTATTTTATATATTATCAATAGATTTTACTTGAACCTACCATAATATTAACGTTATATGTTGTCTTAGGATCATTGAATTGTCCTATCTTTATATCTTAAGATTGTTATGTTCTTAGATTAAAATTTGTCTTGAAAATATCCTTCTTGTTAAGCTTCCAACATAAAACCAATTAGCGATACGTGAGTAGCACTAACATATATTTAAACCATATCAAATGTCACGAGGTAGGCGATGTGGGACTTTCAACACACTCCCTCTAACGAAGCCTGCCGGACCAGACAAAGGGTGACAACTTTTGGTCCATGACAATAACCGGAAAGATGTTAGGCTTTGACTCTGATACCATGTTAATGTTCCAACATAAAATCAATTGGCAATATGTGTATTAACCTAACATATATTTAAACCATACCAAATGACATAAGATAGGCGATGTGAGACTTTCAACACTTATCTTGATTCAATAATTTTTAAAAAAAATTTAAATACTTAAACTAGTTCACATATTATCAATTAAATTTATATTATAACCTTATAACCGTTTAAATTTTGAACCAGAAACATTGAATGCAATTTTGTTAATTTTATTTGTCAGGTGCCTTCTATCTTCAACAATATAGATCATGTTCTCTTAACTTTACTCGGTTTTCTTTGTAAAGAAATTTAAAAGCCAATGACGAGAAAAAAAAAAGTAATGGAAAAAGGCAATGGAAATTTAGCAGTTGGATTTGGAATCCGAAAGAATCACGAGAAATCTACTTATATTCAAACTTCATTTCCCATCAAACTGTTGTAAAAACATGATCGACAAACTGACTCCTACGTCCCTAATTATGAAATTACGAAATTATCAAATTATGATGCCTGTAGTGTCACAGATCGAATCAGTGGGGGATGCTAGCTATGCCGGCATTTATTAAAATGCTGTATTAAATTTAAAAGACAAATACATATTTTAGCTTAAAAATATTATAGTCTTTTTAATTATGACAATAAATTCACATTTTATTATAATTAAATCTTATAAATTATCATGCTAATTAAGGTCCAGTTCTTATCATGTGTATAAAAAATTTGGTTACAAATAAAACTCTTTCTTGAGTTATATCTATATTTTAAAGAATATTTGTCGATTATGCTACCCTTAGCTCAAGTTTTGTCTTTTAATCAACAAATTTTATGTTACCTTAAAAAAATAATTTTAACGAACAAATTGATATTGAACTAACGATAATTCATTCATCTTGTAGGATCAGTTTTCTTTAATGATGTACAAAATAATAAAATCAAACTATCTTTACTGGTGAAAAAGTTAAAATAATGAAAAACGTTGCTATTAAAGGTCACATTAATTAACATACATTTAAAAATTGGATGTTAAATCTTAATCAAATCAACTCTTAAAACCTAACCCTAAATTGTTTTCCTTCTATTTGAGTGTCGTCACTCGTATTGTTCATCGACACTGTTCACAGTAATGTTCATTTGTCACTGCATTTACGATAATTTTCATTTGTCACTGTTCACGTATACTATTTAAAAAAAACTGCAATTTTGATATTGAATTTCATTTATATATATATATATATATATATATATATATATATATATATGTGTGTGTGTGTGTGTGTGTGTGACAGTTGTTCATCCTTTAAATTTCAATACACATTAGCTGTTTGATAAAATTCCTAAGTGTCAAACGTCTTTTTCTAATTTTTGTTTTCCCATACAATTTATATTTGTCTTGCTTGTTGTTAGTAGTAAAATTGTTCTTTGCTACTTGTCCTTTGTTGGTACTATAATTCTATTTTATTTCTTATGATTGCTACAGTTAAAACTAATTCTTGAACTACTGATTGTTTGATTCTTGTAAGAATCATAAGTCAGAAAACGAGTGAAAAAAGGCAAAAGTGCATATTATACAAAAGCCAAATTGAGAGTAAACACGAGTGATACATCTTTGAGTGCAAACACGTGAGAATAGTGGTGGGGTCCTATTACTTCATTTGTTTGGTTCTTTCCTTTTTTTACTTGAAAGATGGCAGGTACATGTGGTGGTGGTACCCCTCCTCTAGGGGGTGACAATAGATTATTGATTGATGCCATTACAACCCAAATGCAAAGAATGTTGTCAGAACATACCGAGGAGTTGTATGGAAGAATTGAACAACTAGAAAATCAAGGAAATGATGATGATGGTGGAGGTAGAAGGAGGAGAAGGAGAAATAATGAAGGTGATGTTAGAGATAACAGAATTGAAGGAGTAAAGCTGAACATACCCTCTTTTCAAGGAAAGAGTGATCCAGAAGCATATTTGGAGTGGGAAATAAAAATTGAGCAACTATTTACATGCCATAATTACACAGAAGATAAAAAGATGAGAGTGGCAGCCATGAAATTCACTGATTATGCTCTCATTTGGTGGAACCAATTACAAAGAGAAAGGGTGAGATATGAAGAACCCTTAGTGGAAAGTTGGGAAGAAATGAAGAGGTTGATGATAAGAAGATTTGTTCCTTCTCATTATCAAAGAGATCTTCACAACAAGCTCCAAATACTCATACAAGGTAGTAGAGGTGTTGATGAATATTACAAAGAGATGGAGGTTTCCATGATTATGGCTAATGTTATGGAGGCTCGGGAGGCTACTATGACCCGATTCCTACATGAGCTAAATAGTGATATAAGAGATGTTGTAGAGTTGCAAAATTATGTTGAGTTGGAGGATTTAGTACATTAAGCTTCCAAGGTGGAACAACAATTGAAGAGAAAGGGTGCCATGAGAGGAGTTCATCTAATTTTCACTCTCCTAGTTGGAAGGACAAAAATAAGAAGGAGGGAGGATCATCAACAAGCAATCCCAATTTTATAGCTCACAAAACTCAAAATAAGTTTGATAAGACACTTAAGAAAGCAAGGAGCAGTGAGATTAAGTGCTTCAAATGTTTGGAAAGAGGTCACATAGCTTCTCAATGTCCCATTAAGAAGACTATGTTACTTAAGGAGGATGGAGAAATAATTAGTGAATCTTCTTCAGATTCTCCATATAGTGATGAAAATGAGCATGAAGATGAAAGAGTGTTAGAAGGAGATTTGTTCATGATTAGAAGGATGTTGGGTATTCAATCAGTTGAACTGGATGATTGTCAAAGAGAAAATATTTTTCATGCAAGGTGCCTCATTCAAGGGAAGTTGTGCTCTTTGATCATTGATGGTGGGAGTTGCACTAACGTGGCTAATGCATGGTTGGTTTCAAAAATGAATTTGGAGACTAAGCCACACCTGCGACCTTACAAACTTCAATGGCTTAGTGAAGATGGTGAGATGACCGTGAATAGGCAAGTTGAAATGGGTTTTTCCATAGGGAAATATGAAGATTCTATTTTGTGTGATGTGGTGCCTATGGAGGCTTGTCATTTACTTCTTGGGAGACCATGATAGTATGATAGGAGAGTTATGCATGATGGTTTCACTAATAAGTTCTCTTTTATGCATAAAGACCGCAAAACTACTCTTGCACCTTTGGTTCCAAGAGAAGTTAGTGAGGATCAACTAAAAATGAGAAAGAAAAGAAAAAGAGAATGAAAAGAAAAAGGAAAAAGAGGAAGAAAAAGAGAAAGAGAGAAAAAAATTAAATCTGTTTATAAAAGAAAAAGAAGTCAAAAGGGCTATGCAATTGAGAAAACCAATACTTTTACTTTTGAGTAAAGAAAGTAAATCAAACAGTCCATGTTTTACTATCTCTCTTCCAAAAGAGGTTTCTTCTTTGTTGCAGGATTTTGAAGATGTTTTTTCCAAAGAAGTGTCTATAGGTCTACCCCCTCTTAGGGGTATTGAGCATCAAATTGACCTTATTCCAGGAGCTTCATTGCCTAATAGACCAACCTATCGAAGAAATCCCCAAGAAACCAAGGAGATTCAAAAACAAGTTGAAGACTTAATGCAAAAGGGGTGGGTTAAAGAAAGCTTGAGTCTCTGTGCA